TACGTGGGGAGAGGCGGATGGATGGGTTCCGAAATGCACTGGAGGATTATGGCCTTCGTGATCTTGGGTATAAAGGTAGCATATACACTTGGGAAAAGGGCACGTCGATAAACATTTTGATGCAAGAAAGACTTGACAGATAGATATGCCGCTTAGAATGGGTGGTGCTCTATGTTTCCGTTTGCATAAGTCATTAATTTCCCTATATGCCATTCCGATCATGCTGCTATATTATTGATGTTTGGGGAGAAGGATGAGTGTGATAGGAAAGGGAAAAATTTTCGGTTCGAAGCCCTTTGGCTATCAAACGACGAGTGCAGCAAGGTGTTCTCTAATGCGTGGCTAAGCGGGGTGAGTGAGTCGATTCATAAAAGGATAGCGAGGGTGGCTAAGGACCTCTCCTTTTGGGTTGGACGTAAGTTTGGCAACATTAAAAAAAAAGATTAAAAAAGCTGAGAAAAAGTTACAGGATGTTCAAGGGGGATGGCTTGATGCTCATCGGTTAGAGCAATGCAATAATATCAAAAAGGAGATTGATGAATTAAGGAAACTTTAGGAGTCATATTGGCACACAAGAGCAAGATCAAATGAGTTGCGGGATGTAGACAAAAATACAAAATACTTTCACCATAAAGCAAGTAAAAAAAGCGAAGAATTCTATTTCGGGCATATATGATGAAAATGGCGAGTAGAAGAGCTTTGTGAATGATATTGATGGCGTCATTGCTAGGCATTTTGGGGCTCTTTTTAGGCCGGATGACCCGATTGGCTTTGAGAAAGCGACGACGGGTATTGTGCCTCTTGTCTCGGATGAAATGCGTGGCGATTTAGATGTTGAGCCGACAGAGGAGGAAATTCGGCAAGCATTATTCCGAATGCATCCGAATAAAGCACTTGGACCGGATAGTATGCATGCTCTATTTTCCATAAGTTTTGGAATATTGTTGGTTGAGGCATGATTAATTTTGTGAAGGGTGGTGGCGTGACTTGGGAGAAGTAAATCGAACCTGCATTGTGTTGATCCCGAAATGTAATGAGTCGAAGAGGTGACAAAGTTCAGTCCAATTAGTTTGTGCAATGTTTTGTACAAAATAATTTCAAAAACTTTGGAAAATAAATAGAAACATATGCTTGGTTCGGTTATTTCTCCAAACCAAAGTGCTTTTGTGCCAAATTGACTGATCATAGATAATGCTCTTATTGCCTTTGAGATTTTCCATTCTATGAAGAGGAAGGGGGAAGGAAAGGATAGGTCGGTGGTGCTGAAGCTCGATATGAGTAAAGCGTATGTATAGTGGAGTGGTGCTTTTTGAGGAAGGTTATGAAAAAATAGGATTCCCGAAATCTTGGATTGATCGTATCATGAAATGTCTGGCTAGCGTGTCTTTCTCCTTTAAGTATAATGGCGGCATCTCTGGATCGTTGATTCCTACCCGTGGTCTTCGACAAGGTGATCCTATATTCCCCTATTTATTCTTAATTTGTGCTGATGCTTTCTCTACTTTGCTAGCAAAAGCGGCAAATGAGAATTTTATTCGTGGTGCTCAAATTTGTAGGGGGGGCCTTAGAATTTCCCATTTATTTTTTGCGGATGATAGTATTCTTTTTTGCAAAAGCTACATTGAATGAATGCTCTAAAATTGCTGACATTATTAGTGTGTATGAAAGAGCATCTAGTCAGAGTGTCAATCTCAGTAAAACTAAGGTAGATTTTAGCAAATGTGTGTCTGTAGATTGACGAAAGGAGATCACTGCTACTCTTGGGGTTAGGGAGGAGGACAGGCATGAAAAATACAAGGGTGCAAGGAGAAATTACAAGGGTGCAAGGAGAAATTGTTGTCTTGTCTGGGTAAAGAGGTTCTTATAAAAGCTGTGACTTAAGCAATTCACACTTACATGATGAGTATTTTAGGATCCCCAATGGCCTTATTTATGAGATTCACTCAATTTTGGCTAAGTTTTGGTGGGGTTCGAAGGGGTCGTAGAGGAAGATGCATTGGCAAAAATGGGAGTATCTTTGCCTCCCGAAGTCAATGGGGGGGTCAATGGGGTTTCGGGATTTGAGAAATTTTAACCAAGATATACTTGATAATCAAGGGTGGAGGCTTTGCAATAATCCGGGCTCTCTTTTTCACAGTTTGTTTAAGGCAAAATACTTCAAAAATTCGGACTTTTTAGAGGCGGTTAGGGGCCATGACTCTTGTTATAGTTGGCGGAGTATTGGGGGTGCTAAAGCTCTTCTCCTTGATGGGTTAAAGTGGAGGGTGGGAAATGGTGCATCAATTAGAGTATGGGATGACGCTTGGCTTATTGGTGAGAGCTTTTACCTTCTTCCGACTCCCAATCCGGACAACAATTTGGCTCTTCGTGTGTGTGATTTGATTAATATGGAGCGTGGTTGTTGGAATAGGGGGGTACTGGATGCGGTGTTTAATGATGATGACAAACTTGCGGTTTTGAATGTTCCTATTTTTCAGAGTTTGCCTTGTGACAACCATTATTGGTGGCCCAATCCGAATGGTATTTGTTTAGTTCGAAGTGGATATTGGATCAGTAGGCTGGGTGTGTTAAGGGCGTGGGAGCTGACTCATGGTACAGGTGAATTGGATGTATGAAAGGTCATTTGGAACTTTGATGGACCTCCAAAGCTTAGTCATTTTTTGTGGCGAGTGTGTAAGGGGCAACTTGTTGTTAGTGCTGTGATGTACAAGAGGCATATCGGTGACTCTAGAGACTGTCGAATTTGTGGAGGTAATGATGAAACAATTGTGCATTATGCTAAGGATATATGGAAGTTCAGTGACTTTTGTGATTTAAATGATGCTAACCCAGAGACTTCTTTTGCTGAGAAGTTATGTTGGATCGCAAAAAAGATTAGCAAAGAGCAATTGCGTGTCTATGCTTTGCTCTAATGAGCATATTCATAAAGGCAATCGTGATATCAATGTTGTGTTCTTAGCTACTGGTTTTGTGCAATTGAACGCTGATTATGGGCTTTAATGCTCGGCTGAGGGGGACTGGAGTATGTGTGGTGTGTAATTCTGCTTGCTCGTGGTCTCCTCTTTTAAATTGGGTTGTAAAGCTGAACGTGGATGCGCACATTCTAAATGACAGGGGTGTTCGGGGCGGTTTTGCTTGATGATAAGGGTGCTCTCCTTGTTGTTGCTGCCGTGAAGAGATATGATGCTAGTTGGCCCCCCGAAATGGCAGAGGCAGGTGCGATGAGATATGGAATGGAGTTGATTCGTAGGTTGGGTTTTGAGAAGGTGGTGCTTGAGAGTGATGCTCTTGGGGATGTTCGTGCTATTTAAACTAAGCAAACTAGTGTTGCTCCTATCTTTCTCCTATATGATGATGTGGTTAGGATGAGTAGTAATTTAGCTTCCTTTTTTTGTAATCATGTTAAACGAGCGGGGAATGCAGTTGTCCATTTCGTTGCTAGATGGGACACTAGTATCTTTTCGGAACGTGTTTGTATGAGTTATTTTCCCCAAAGTCTTCAAACTTTGGTGGACCTTGATTTAATATAATTTCACGGGTCTGGCTTCAAAAAAAAAAAAAAAAGGATATCAGGACAGTGGCAATGGGGAACAGGTCATGCCAAAGAGACCCAGCTTCAATTCTAAATGTGGGGAAAAGCACAATCCAAAGAATGGTGAAGAGAAGGGATATAAGACCTCACACAAATGCATTGAAGCCAAAGCTCACACTAGCAAATAGAATAGAGAAGCTCAGGTTTATTCTCAACTTATATGATTCTACTCTATCAATCTCTTTATTTCTATACAATATTATGCTCGATAGTTGAAGAAATTAAATTATACAAAAAAAATATCATATTGAAACGAGGGAAGTACTTGTATTAATTTAAACTCTTTTTTATCATAGTTTATAAGAAGTATATGATTACACATTAGGGCGACATTAGTACTCTCCAATTGGCACTCATAGAAGAATAATCAAAAGTATTAATATCTACCTGAATAATAAAGCTGTTGAGTTTCTCTTAGTTGACTCTTTATGGAGAGCGACTTGTGGTTGACTCTTGGACTAGAGTCATAATATAGATAGAACCAGTTCAACCTTTAATTGTGTAATATGCGTCCAACTTCGTTTTGCTCAAACATGGATTAACCTTATTAAAGACTCAGAGGACGATAGAGAGGTGAAAGCCCTTTGAAAAACTAAGTAACTTTCCATTGCGGAGGTAACATTCGTTTATTATTATTATTATTAGGAAAATGCTATAATCTATGTATAAGTATTAAATATACTCTATAAAATTGTTTAAATTTAGAAAATCATGACAAAAATACACTAATTACACCGATTGACGTGTATTTTTGTCATGAATTCCTAATTTTATATTCCCTCCGTCGCCAAAAGTTCGACCCTTTTGGCCTAATTTTAGTCTCAAAATGTTCATCCCATTTGCATTTTAATACCCTCTAATTTGCAATAATATTTGTGCAAAATTAGCTTCCCCATGCAAATTTTGCTTTTTCTGAGTATATACTTTTATTACTTTCTTTCTCTACTTTTTTGCAATTTCAATGTAAATTTCTCTTTTCAATGTACTTTTCTTAGTTTCCCCATACACTCTTATACTTCCAATTTAACTTTCTTAATACCCGTGAAATCAACCCAAAAGGGTCGTTCTTTCGGGGACGGAGAGAGCACAATTTTCAAGAGTGTATTTTAGCTACATATAGCATTACCCTTGTTATTATTATAATGAACTTGCCTTTTAATATTATTATAATTACACTACTCCGCAAACCTATTCCATTCGAATTCGTATTAGGGGAAGGGGAAACTAAGGTAGTGCACAATAAGCAAATTATATCCAAAGCTATGTTAATTCATAGCACATTCCTGACAGAAATAAACACAATGATTCATGCAAGCAAACGGAAAAAAGTTGCTACTGCTGATTCAAGCATATATGTAGATTAAAATCAAATAGTAGCAAACATACCCAAAGCATTGCAGTAGTGTAATTACTGCTGCTGATTCTGAGGTGGCTGTTGAGAATTTGGAGGTGGTGGCATCCCTGGACGAGGAGGTCCATAGACTGGCACCTGTCCCCCAGGAAGTGGTGGCATACCAGGTCTGGAAAGAGGTGGCGGGCCACACATCATAGGAGGAGGTAATACTGGCATGCCAGGACGCTGGGCATAATGAGGAGGCATTTGAAAATGCCCAGGTGGAGCTAAACCAAGCCTTGAACCAGGAGGGTACCGCCCCAGGGGAGGTGGGCCTCTCAGAGGCATCTGTGGTGGCCCGCTTTGAGGTGGGAATCCTTGCATCTTATGACCTGGTGGTCGCATCACAGGTGCATTTGGATAAGTCATCCCAAGAGTCGAGAACTGAGGAGCTGGAACTGGTGGTCGAGAGATCTGAGGTTGCATCATGCCCGGAGCTGGACCACCAACACCACGAACTGGACCAGCCAAACCAGGCTGAGCATGAACAAGAGATGCATTTAGAACACCCCGTCCAGCAGCTCGGCCTAGACCAGAACCTGGCACGGCACTGGCACTCAAGGACTTGGTACGTGACTTGTCAGGAGGAGGAGGACCTTCAACAGCCGTGGAAATCCACTCTTCACCCCTAAGGATGACAAGGCCAAGGGTACGTCGTTCTCTCTCCTCATTAAGGTCTGTTTCGTTGGATTTGCTTCCCTTAGTGGAAGGCAGTTTCCGAAACTCCTCACAATCACCAATGACAATGTTCATGTGACGATCAAAGCCCATGAATATTCCCACAAGCTGACGCTCATCTTGAATAGAAAAACGCATACGGTAATTGATAAACTGGGCCATCTTCGAACCTTTAGACATCGACATGGTTATCAATTTGCTAAACTCTAAACACCAATATGACCTGCACATATTCTTTGAATCTTTAAAATCCCAAGTATATATATTTTCTTTAACATAATTTCAGCAATTCAATCAACATAACTATACATATAAAATATGCTTTTCTAAGCGCTCTTGATTGAAAAAAGACTTATGTACCTCTTAAGGAAAAAAAACAAGCTTACAAAGGTTTCATCCAAAAGTCAAATCGTCTCAAACTTGTCAAATTTCTTTTTCTTCTTTTTGGTGCCTCGAGCAGCAATCTGGGATAGCAGAATGGCGGTATGATCAGAATGGTAGCGCATATGGTGCTCCACTCTGAAATTTCAAAAGAGATTTATCCATGCTTGAGAAGCATTGTAACGGTCCAGCCGTTCTCTAACCCTATTCTCCACCGAATTTCCCCTCTTCTAAGTATACCAATTCAACTCCCCTCATACCCCAAGTCCCTTAGACTACAATCGTCCATGGCTTCACGGAAATTTGCAATCTCCCTTCTCTCTCTTCCTACTCCCCCTTCAATTTCATCATACCTTAAAATCTCATTGAAATCACTTCCAAGCAAAATAGGAATATTCCCATCAGAGCATAAATGGCGGATAATCAACCAAGTTTCATGTTTTTCTTCCTCCCTTGGCCACCCATAAATCCCCACGAACCTCCAAACACCACCACTCGGGTTTGTAATGTCACCACATATATGATTTTGGGAGAAAGAGACAAAATTAAAATCCACCCCTTCCTTCCAATATAAGCATAGACTTCTCGCCTTACCCCGGCTTGACACACCAAAAGCGTTAGGATAGCCCAACCAGTCTTTCACTTTCTCGACTTCAATTTTATTAATCATCGTCTCCAATACAAAAATCATATCGTGGGCAAATTTATTGCTCCATATACGAAGCTGTCGAACCGACGGGGAGTTGCCCAAACCCCGGCAGTTTCAACATAGAATACTCATTGAGAGAGGCGGGATTGGCCTAAGCCAATCTCCGCCGCCATAGAAATATCCATATTACTCACATCAACCTGCTTTGGCCGCTTCCCACCAATTATGTCCTCCACTACAGAGCTCATCTCATCAGAACCACGCTTAAAAGAAAGTCCAATAGCCACCTCTTTTTCACCCTGCTGTGCACGAGCTATTCTTTTCCATGTACGACTTCCTGTTGGTGCAACCAGTTTAGTATCCGAAACTGGAGTATGCAGCCTCTCTGTGTTATTTAGAGCAATAATAGGTGGTGCAAGCTCACCAAAGACAAAAGTTTGTTCCTTCAAGGCATCAGGTTCTACTGAAGAGTGCGTGGGTGTAAAAGGCATAGCACGATCCTCTGTATGAGCAATTTGCTCTATGGTGATTTGGTCATTGGATTCACACTCGACATCCTTTTCTTTTTCCTCCTGTTGAGGCTTAGTAGTAAACGTGAGCTTTCTACTTGCCTTAAGTTTTCCTACTTCTTCAACTTCCTTCGACAACCCTTTTCTTGGAGTAGCCTTTAGGTCAGTGCTCCACCCAAGCTGCTCATGTTTTTCTTCCTCAGCGACATTGTGACAATCTCGTTCAGCATGCCCCATAATACCACAGGCAAAGCAGAAGAAGTTGAGTCATTCATAGGCAAAATTCACCTGCAGTTCTCGTCCTCTGCGGTCCTTGATCATCTGAAAACGCCGCAAGGGTTTGGTTGTATCAAGCATTAGTTTAACTCTCCGGTAACGCCCAATTCCAAGAACACCGTCTTCAATCTCAAGAATTTCTCCCATGCCCTCCACAATAGCTTTGACATGGGAATCAGATCTACAGTTAAAGGGTAAATTTTTTATACGAACCCAAAAGGGAGAGTTCGTAAGAGTTACTTCCTCCGGTTGCTCGTCACCGTCAATTTCTTTCAAGAGAACAAGCATATTATCAAAACACCATGGTCGTCCTCTTAAAACCTTGTCAAAATCCTTCTAATGGAAAAATTGGAAAGCGTAGAGATTAGGGCCTAAGAACCCTAATTGCCAAACCATGAATCGGAGCCCATATACTGGTAATTGTCTTCTTAAACGCCTCAACATTGTAAGATCTATGAGTGAGCAATTTCCCAACCAACATTAGCGATAGGTTGTTCTCCTCCTCGCCAAAAGTTAAGGCTCCTAGGTCAATAGGCTTCTTTTCTTCCTCACAAATACAGAGCTGAGAATAAAGATTAACGATTTCCTCCGCCATCAATGATAACTGTCAGTATCCAAAGCAAAAATCTACTGAAAATCGGTAGGGTTCTATCTCAGGGATAGAGATCGCTCTTTCTTTCGAGAGAGTTTATCCTTTCTTTCGAGGGAGTATATTCCATATTCGGTAAACTTATTTTAATTATAAATTAAATTAAAAATTCTTAATTAATGATTATTAAGTTTACATTAATAAGTGAAAATTATAAGATGATTAAATTTAACATATTTTTATAAAATAGGTACATAACTTTAGAAGGTGCTTACAATCTTACATGTAACCGGCTTAATCACATATTCACACTCGATAATTCCACCATGCATGGAAACTAAACATTAATTACATGTATGATTTTCATCCTCATATAATTGAGAAAATAAAGTATGAAGTGACCTTTCACTCCCTTATTTTTCCTTTCTTTTTTAAAATGAAAGAAAGCAGATTTTGTTCAATTTATGGAACAAGAGAAGTTCACAACTGTACCACTTCACATCTGTCTCACATAAGTTACTCCGTACTAAATAAATGAATGCCTGATATTTTTATAAAGTTTTTCTCTTTTTATTTTTTTATTTTTTATTTTTAATTTTTTTAATTTTTTTTTTGTTTGTGGGAATCATATTGAAAAAGGTCCAAAATGGTTGATTCGATCTAGTAATAATAATTATGAAGTATCAACTTGGAATTTAAAAGTAAGAATCAAGGTTGGATTAGCTAGGGGTTGGCGGCCCTCCTTTCATCACTATAAAAGGGTTGGGGTGAGAATTAGAAGGGTTCGATTAGTGAGATCCTTAGTTTTCTTTTATTTACAAGGGACTTTTCCTTACTAAATATATATATATATATATATATATATATCTTGAAAACGAAAAGTAGTTGTGAGACTCATTGAGTAAAAATCTGTTACATTTGAATGGAATGTTTAATTGAGAACTTAATTAAAAAGGCTTAGGTGGTCATAGGAGATCGAATACAATTTGCAACTAGGTGATCTAAAATTAAAGGAGTGTTTAGTCCACATATAAGTCTAAATGAGGTTCAATTTTAAAATAAATTGGTGATACAAAGTAGCAAATAAGTCAGTCTGCTGCCTTATAACGGGATATATTTTTTCCAGTAATATGCAACAACTCACAAGTACAATGAGGTTTCAACAAATATTATATTTTTATTTTTCAATTGCTTATATTGAGGGGAGAATTTTGTGGTATTTATCCATGATATATAACACAAATTTAATTAGGTGAGGTGTAGTGAATTAACGGTCCAATTTCTACCGTTTAATTTCGTTAGGAAAGTTGAAAAGGAATAAAGTGTGTGAAATGAATGCAAAATCTCTCTCAAATAATCCCAATTGTCAAAAATTCAGAGCTTGTCATCGTAGTTGTACTATATTGAATTGATTACAAAGTTTTAATTTTTCTATAAAGTTAGTTGAAAACTTGAAACTATAACCTAAGGTATGTGTATGTACGGTCCTTTCTTAATACATTTCTTACTGTAAATAGTTACAAAATTTGGAAGGATCTTGTTAACAAGCGTCCCAGAGCGTTAGATAAAGGATTAATATATTACTTAAAATAGTATTAAGTTCGGAATGCATGACAAAATCATGCGTCGATCGGTGTAATTAATGTTAATTTCACTATAATATTTTCATATTTAGCTTTCTTATCTAACGCTCCGAAAGCACTCGTTAGCTTTTGCCAATTTGAAATATTATTTATATCTAGAGTTATTTTTGATGTGGAAATGTTGTAAATGACGCATTTAAAACTTACTACTACTCATTAAAGTAAAATAAATGATGAAGTAATTTGGATGATGACAGTCTTTATTTCTTGAAATTGAAGTGATTAGATTGATGAACCAATGAGATAAATCCATGTTGATGACATAATAAAATCAGTAAAGGTTATTATTAATTTTACAACTTAATAACAAGCCATGTTATGTTGTCAACTAATTCGATCAATATGTCGATCTACCACGTACAGTTTTTGTATATACATTTTATCAAAAATAAAAAATAAAAAAATCATGCTCAAATAGTTTATGCCTATACAAAGCCACTAATGTAACATATGGACAATTATTTTACATTACATATTTTTTTGAAGCAATTTTACATTATATTATACGCATTATTTCTCTTTTTTTTTTTTTTTTTTTTTTTGGTTTTTTAAAGCAAGGATATCAAAGATAATGCAATGGGTGTTTATATGCAATTAAGTAAACTTAGGGCTCAATTAAAAGATATTTGGCTTACAAAAATATGGTTGGTACTTATTAGTGTAGAGCTGAGAATAGGAAAAAAGGTGGGAAAGAGTGAGTATGAAATTCAAAATTCAGCCATTGACCTTTAATTTGATCAATAAGATCACCTATAAAGCTATAATAATCAAGAATACACACGATCCTATCACTATGGTATATATCAAAATAAAATTCAGTTAAAAATTACATATAGATTTACCGAGCTTTACTGTTTTTAGAGCCATATAAAATAGGCACATGAGAAAATATTAAGAAACACAACATTTGTAATATTGTTAAAACGCATTAAAAAAGTCGACATGACACGATCGTGCTAATATGCAAGCTAGGTTACCTGTGTTTTAAATTACGAGCATGGTGAAAACGCATGGAGGATAATAAACTCACTAGATAAGGCGCATGGCCAGCTACGTCGAGGCGCAGCATGTATGCATGGGCTGTTGTGCCAATATATCTTACATTTTTGGCTTTATTATTACTTGAATTCTTGTTGCTTCATCAATACATACAAGTGCTCGTATAATTGAATTTGGGTGATTTATTCATTAAGGTGTATGTGATACATCCAAGCGCCTAGATCAGAGCACCTGTTCACTATTCAGAAACATACAGTCTTATGGATGTCAGATCATTTGTTTACCGACCTAGAAATTGCTCAATTTTATTTGTTGCTAATTTAAAATTGAGATATAATCTTCTAGTTCAGCCCTAGTGAGCTCTTAATGATGGTTTTTAAAGATGTCTCGTTACAAAATCCTCACACAATGCAAGCTGTTAACTCGTAATAAGAATTTGTGTTATTAGTGTTGGATCTAATTTTTAATTTTTTATTAGGAAAAAAAAGGTGTAATGATCTACACTCGATAGTTAGTTTATGATTATTAAGTTCCGCGATTTCGTTTTTAGAAAACCCCCAAAATTTACTTCTATATATTCAAATATTGTTTTTAGAAAAAAAAATGTGAGTAAATATTGTCTGCGCTAAGATTTTAAAATTACCTCTATTTCGTAAGAAAAACCGCAATATGTCTCTTTGTACTTGATATATTTCATAGATAAAACAAAAATCGAAATATTGCCTAATTACAAGTGATAATCACTCTTGCATTATTTATCTAGAATCACCCTTCTTCTGATCACTAATTGACACCACAATGATAATCAACATTTAATTTACACAATAATGATAAGATCAAGCTGAAAATAAAGGAAGAATCCCTTTAATATAACTTGCTTCTTTTCATCCTAATTTGTCTAGCTATGCAATAAACTAATAATTTAATAAGTTAATAGAGCTTGATGCTAGGAACATAAATAAAAAAGTAGCCTAACCTTTAGTCAATTAGGTAAAGAACATGTAATAATAATTCATACTTCGTACAAAATTGTTGTGCAATTATCAGAAAGGCCTTTTAGCGTATCATGTTACCTAAGTTGTCTTTATCCATATTCTTCTCTAAAACATTCTAACATTTCTAGATCACCCAAAAGTTTCAATTTGAACTAAAAAAATGTTGCCCAAAATTTTATAAAACTATATTAAAGTTTTCATTAGATCAAATCTCATCCATTTATTATTGTGAATGTCGGCGCTATTGTCATGTTCTTTGCCTACTTAAATTTGGACAGTGCTGACTTGCTGTTATCTTTTTCTTCTAATAAAAATCTGTCAATGTTATATATTATTTTTAAAAAATTATTTATAGTTGAAAACTGAAAATTGATACCCAATTTTTTCAATGGTAATAAAATACTCTCTCCTTTTAATAATGTAATTCTTCCCGTTTACATTTTATGTATTTTTTTTAACACAAACCTTGATTATTAACATTTTTGATTTTTTTTTTTTTTTTGACAAGAATATTTTTGATTTATTAAACTAATAAGTTTTATGAAACTTTACATTATTGTAAATTTAATAAGACTGCAAATACTAGTAATTGTTTTTCCTTTTTGTGTAGAATACCAACAAAGGTAAAATCTTAATTATTATTATTATTATTATTATTATTATTATTATTATTATTATTATTTTATTACCAATTCATACATTATCGGAACTTTTTTCACTATATAAATAATAACTTTGGTCATATAAAAACTTCATTTAACAATCAATTATACCTATCAAAGGAATTAGAATAATTAAAAATATTAATGATCAGTAGAATAGTATAAAAAAACAAATGGAGTGATACAAAAGTTCGAGAAAATCTAGATTAGGTTTTGTCTCCCGCATGTGTCCCTACCAACATACCATGTAACACATACAAAGTATGCTATGACTATGAGTCATATCCTACTCATGCACGACTTTTTTTTTCCCAGTATATTTGGCTTATCATTTTTATGCAGATAATTTGTTGCTTTATCATTCAATTTAGTATGATTCATGTTCTACTGAAAGTTTAATTGAAACGAATCTTTTTGCATGTTCTTAACCATTGTTAATCTCCCTTAATAATCATTAATTTCTAGTGTATAACCACTTTTGAATATCAATCATATCTTTTAAAATTAAGATCTATAACGTTAATTATCTTTACTTAATCATTATAATAACTACTTTTTCCGTTCTTTTTATAGTTTTATTTATCACGCTTATCAATGCAAAACTTTAACCATCAATAACTCTAATTTTACATAAGAAAAATTATAAAAGTTATATATATTATGATAATACTTATTGAGACAATTTTAACAAGATCCCACATGAATGT